CTGCGCTTACTGGCGGTCCCTGGGTTCCCTAAATTTTCTTTCGGAGATTAAAACATACTCCATGTACCTAAAAATATCCTAAAAACCTCAAAATTGGTGTTAGAAATATTTTTCGAATTCCGGCATGGTGGTGATTTGCCTCGGGCTGGCCTTTTTGGCCAGTTTTAACCAGTTTTGTACTCATTAATACGAGAAAACACATTAAGGGGTCTCAGTTGGTCGAAAAAAGTCAAAAAACAGAAGTTTATCGGTGGTGGAGTTTTCCGGTGTGGCAGCTCTGCAGACTCACATTCACGGTTGAGTGTTTTGCTTCGGTCAATCTGTAAAAAAAGAAATGGTGATTACATTGGTAGAAAAATTACACGAAACAGGAATCAGGAAGAGTCTCATCGGATGCGATTTTTTATTTTTCCTGCAGTGGTGCCGCCGGGCTTTACCCGTGATTTCTGCATCATTCGCTGATACTTTTGCTCTAATTTGATCATGGGGGTGTTTAAAATTGAATTTCGAGCGAATGAATTTTTTTTTTTTACCTCTTTTGGCAATCAGAGGTGGCTCCAGCACTGCAGCGATCGGATCTCTCTCCTGGCGACTGGTTCTTTTTCTCTGGCGGGGGGCTGGCGGCTAGGGTAAGGATTCAGTATGAACTGAGGTATTTATATCCGTCTCCCTTTAATCTGGATTGTCTATTGTATTTTATCTCGACTGTTCGATCGCGTTTAAATAGGAAGTAAATTTGGACCGTTTGTCCCAATTTGATCTGGACCGTACGATCGCATTTAAATAGGAAATAAATTTGAACCATCCATCGCGTTTAATCGCGACCGTCTTATCGCGCATGAGGAGGGAACGGATCCGAACTGTATTCGTGCGTGAGAATAAATCTGAACCGTCCGATTGCGGGCACGTGGATTGCCACCGTGGCCTCCCGCATGGCACCGTGTCAGCGTGCCTTGTCACATGACGCGCTCCGGTTTGTTGGGGCTGCTGACTGGGTGGTGCTACGTGATACATCTTTCTTAAATTACGTTTTGACCCCCAGTTTTTAAATCTTTTAAAAACACTTCAAAAACTCAAAATTTTAGCCATTTTTCCCAAAATTATTTTCAATTTCATCATCCATCTATTTTTTCTAATTTTTACATTAAATAAAAATTCATAAATTAAAAAATTAAATTTTATACATTAATTTAAACTTTTTTTAAAATTAATTTAGGGTCTTACAATAACACAGTAAAAAAATAATCTCCGAATGATTATATATAATAATAAATAGGAGGAGAGCAAAAATTTGAAAGTTTGTATAATGCTATAAATATCATCAAAAGAGAGTAGCCCAACACAACTATTCTTAATAGCCTGTTTGGCTAATTTGTGGGCTAATTCATTTTGTGTGCATGGGAACCAAGGCCACAAACAATTAACACCATGTGCAATGACTTCGATTTTCTTAAGGATAGTTTTTGATGCACTAATTTGGAAAGATATTGTCAAACATTAAAGTAGAAACAATAAGCTACGAGTCAATAAAGATAATCACTTCTTTTGGCCTTGTTTATAATTCCTTTCGCCTTCTCTCAAGGATAAGGAGTTTAATTTCAGCTTTTCCAACCAAGATATTCAAGTCTTTGGTGGGTTGGATCCATGTAGGTGATAAATTATAATTGGAATCAGGACAACTACAGTTTGGTAGGTGTCATGTACTATGACAGTCAGCATTACATGTAAGTTTTCTGTTTTTTTTTTTTTTTTAATAACCAACTGATGCATATTAGAGGAGGTACTAAAGAGTAAAACCTTTGTTATCTTCCTGTACCCCTTGTAAGAATGGTCAAATATGTTTAGGGGTTTATAGAGTGGTTTGTATGAATAACTCGATTCTATTCAAAAGTAAATCAGGTTAAAACGTAACAGAAGTAGAAAGAAAAATACGCTTTCTATAAAAGTTATTGATCATCAATTTGAATATATTTTTTTAATGAGAAAAATAAGTTAATAGAATTCCAATTAATAAAATCAATACAAAAACCCTATTAAAATTTTAACAAAAGAATTCTAGTTAGACGATGATAAATAAATAAGTGCTTGTATGATTTATTGCTAGTTATTAGATAATCTTCATGGTGTATCATATTAAAAATAATTATGAGGGAAACCTAGGAGGCTTTTCTGAAGAAACCTCCGCCAAAACACCTTATGACATTCTTGAAATTTTGTATTTCATAGCTCTTCCCATTACGAGAAATATTCAACTGTTCATTTTGGAGTTTGAATTTAATAGATTTCTGTAATATAGTTGATAGGTAAATTTAGCATCAAATAATTGGTTAGAGTATGTGACATCTCCATCTATCATCATTGGAGAGACTAGGTATAATTTTTAGTGACATCTCCATCTATCATCATTGGAGAAACTAGGTATAATTTTTAGCTTACGAATAGCATGAGATACAAGTCTTGGCAAGGCTTGATTAAGTAATGCATGTTTCACTAATTCGTGGAGGCTTCCATTAATTGATCTACAATGTGAGACTTGAAAATATTTCACTGTTTGGCTCAAATTTCTATTAATTAATTGAATAAAACATTTTAAATACTGATAAGTTGAATTGTAGTTGAGTTTTTATTATAAAAAAGCTAAATAGAGAAATATTATACCTCAAATTAGAAGTGTTATTATTATGGACCAGCTTGACATAATTACCAAAATAATTAAAAAAAAAAAATTGAATATAAAAAATTGATTCACTTGGGTTGGGTCTTTGATCAAAATTCTTTAGTCCGATCCAATTTGATTTTAGATCTTTAACACCTCTAATCTAAATATATATATATATATATATATATATAATTATATTTTAATTATAGATACTGAGATAATTGATATATATAAATTTGTCTATTAAAAAAATATTTTTGTTACAAAAAATAATATCTTTGCATACTTAAGCTTTCTGTAATTTTCCATGTACTGTCATGGAAAATGCAGAATTCCTTACAACTCCCCTTATAAATAACTAATTGATAAAGAGTGCAAGCAACAGTCTTATTCTATACATACAGCCAACGTGTAAATGTGCCTCGTCTGGTAATTTAACTCTTAACTTATTTTTCCGACAACTTAATCATGCTGCATAGAAATTAAATAATGCTTCAATTATCAAGAGCATTCATATTTTATTATAGAGTTTACCACTCAGAATCTAAGTCCTATTCACTAATTTTATTAAAAGAGATAATTTTTTTAATTGTTAAACAAAAATTTATAATGCTTCTGTATAACTTTCTAAGGTTTTATATTATAAAATGTAAAAAAAAAAAAATATCAGACTTTCATAGAGTTGTTGACCTCATTGAGCCGCAAGTATTTAATTACTTCATAAGAGTTGTATCCAAGAAAGATAACTTGAAGTAAAAGCTCAAGATAATTTTCTACAAACAAGAGGACGTAATATATTATACATATAGAAAGGAAAGAGCCAGAACTATACAGGGCATTCCGAGTAAAGTGTACTAGTTAATCTTAAACCTTCAATAAATATTGGAGCTATGAAAATCTAAAATGACTTGGGAAGTAAATTTTCTGATGCGTATTTAATTTGGAGAGTGACAAGGTTTAATTTCACGCATCAACTACCCTTAGTATATTAAGAAGCGCTAGGAAGAGGTTGACGATGTCGAGATACAGAGAAACTGCAGCACATATATACTCGTCGTAGGTATAACGTTTGATGAGTTCGTCAGTGTCATAAACAATGTAAGCACAGAATAAAAGAGCTGCCAAGCCGCTGTATATAGTTGTTGTTATCTTCCCAAATGGGAAAAACACCTGTCCATTTCCAACAACTCTTTAAGTTATTTAAGGATCAAAAGTTATGACAGAAGCAAACCGTAACACCAATTATCAGAAAATTAAACCTCGTACCTGCATGATCCCAAAAAAACACAGCACAAGGAGAGAACCAAACAAAAAGGGTCCAAGAAACTTGAAATCTTGGCCTCTCTTTACCGCCCAGAATGTGTAGAGTGTTAGGCCGATCACCATAACACTAGTCAAGATTACAGCCTGCAAAATAACCTTCCCTGGAGTAGACATTAATTTGTTTGAATTATTACGCTTTCATTTCGGGAAATTAATGTTATTGTTTTTATTTTTTATTTTTAAATCAAAGGAGGCTGAAAGACAAAAGGGTAAGATCTGTATGAACATATAAACAGGATCAGATTAATTCATGAATTTATCCTTATGAAAATTGGGTTTTAATCTTGATCATATCATACCTGGTGCAAAGGCACAAGAAAGTCCCACGCCGAAAGAAAAGGTAACCGTGAAAAGTACAAGAAGAATGAGGTTGACCGGATGCTTCTTGTGGAAGACATATAATGGGCATAGAACTAAAAACATACAAATTGACAATTTAATCCAGGTCAAAAACCAAAATATACATACAAAATGTGATATACGTATATGTCAAAATTAAAAAACCTCAACATGCAGATAAATATCCTAACAGAAGATTGAAAAAGGAAACATTGAAGAGAATGAGAACGTACGGATAAGGGAAAGGATGACGGAGCCAATGTAGATCGCGAGACCGGCCGGAGTCCTGAGCACAAAGTCGGGGATCCGAGGAACGAAAACGACGACGGATGCGACGGCGGCGGTCAGGAGCAACTGTAAAGCGATGATTATGTAAACCTTCCTGATAAAGGCCCATCTGAATTGTGGATTCTCATTCATTGTAGGATACAATCCACTTTCCACATCGTGTTTTCCCATTTTTCTTCAGATGAATCCAGAAAGCGAGATGGGTTTTTGAGTTCGTATAATTTCTGGGGTTATTTGGGAGGATAGAAAGTGAGGGAAAATGTCAAGGAAAGTGTAGTGTCTGGGAGATTTACACGAGAAATGGAGAGAGAGAGAGAGAGAGATATATATAAATACAATCATACGTACGTAACAGGACGTTGATTTGGTATTGGATTATTTTTGGAATGCGGTGCATGCAGACTTTTTAGATGTTCCATAACTAATAGTGAATTAGAGAGAATTAAAAAATAAAAAGTAGAATAATTTTTCTAAACTTTTTTTATTACTAAATATCACATATATTTAATTTAATAATTACTCTAACAAATATAAATATGGTTTGTGAAATTTTAAGATTGAATGGTCCAATTTATTTTGACAAATTCAAGTACTTTATTTTAAAAGATTCATGAGAATTTCCGTAGCCTAATAGATTTGAGGTTTTAATTTTTCTTTTCTATTCTTTTAGTCAAATTATATTATTTTTAATTTTTTTAATTAAAAATTCATACATTTCATTAATTTAATAAAACATGCACACTTATAATAATATAATTTTTTAAAGAAAACACACATAACATAATTTTTTAATAAATATACATAATAACGCATAATTCGTTACTCGAACTTATACTTTTATAAAAAAGAACAAAAATATCCATCATTTAACCAAAAAAAATTATTAGCATCTTCAATTTTAGTGTAAAGTTAGGGTGGTTATTAAGTAGGTTACATAAAATAACCAAATTGCCCACAATCAATCTTTTATATGATCAACCACAGACTGAAGCAAAAGAATTAGAAAAAAATACAAAAAAAAAAAAATGAAGATAGAGAGAATAATGGCAAAGACTAAGAGAAGAGGAAAAAAACTAGCATTTGATAAAAACCTCTTGTTCATAACGTAGGAAGTAGAGCTTAAAAGCTTCAAAAGTTTTTTTAAACGGAAGAAAATCTTGATTTAACAAATTGGTTTTATCACTAACTACAATTGGTTGCATATATATGAATGGTATTTAGAAGAGTAGATTCTTTAATGGAAGATTATTTTACAATCCAAAATTTTACAATTTGAAAACATATAAAATATATTTTAAGGTGTGTGAATGCTCTCTTATGATCAAGCCCAATAATGGAAGAATGGATTATGACAGGCCTTGGGCTCACAGCCGAATTACCAAGAGAAATTAAAACAATCCAAAGCGAAGAGTCAAAAAGCAGCTCTGCCAACCAGAAGCCACACGCATTAACTTATCCAAGATTAGCACTTTTGAATGAAAAAGCTCAATACAAAAATCATGGCTTTTGCTTCTTCCTCTTCAGCGATTTCTTCTGTAGCAAATGTTTTTAGGGATGGAAGCTACACAACCATGCTTCAAACAGTTGACCAGTCAAGCACATCCACCATTTATCCTTCTCCACCTCCAAAGCCCCTCTTGATTGCTTTGCCCTGTGTAGCGGGAGAGTTCCCAGTTCTGATTTTGCTCCACGGTTATCTTCTCTATAACTCATTCTACTCACAGCTCATGCAACATGTTGCTTCTCATGGTTTTATTGTCCTTGCTCCTCAGGTAAATATTTCAAACCCTCCTTTCCTTTTCCTACACAGACTACATAGCATAAATTTAATCAACTTGATAATGAAATCTTGATACCAAGCGTTCCTTTCTTTTGCTGTTCGTTCAATTAACGAGTGAGATTTTTGGGGAAACCTATAGTATGAGTGATTGTAAACCGGTTGGTACAGAGGCTGCTGTGAGTGGATATGCTAATGTATAAGTAATACATGTTTCTTACTAGATGAGAGTGTGTCCATTTGGTTAGAACGTTAGCTTCCAAACAATCCGGCGCACAAAATATGCACCCTTCAATCAATTGGTTCCTATCTTATTATGGTTCCAGAGTCAACAATTGCATGTGAAGAAAACAGATGGAATGGCATAATAATATGCAACACATTCATTAGGCTTGATGGCAATCAAATACTTAACATTCCTTTGAGCAGGAGACTACTACCTGATACGCTCATTTAGGCTCACATAAATGAAGGGGAGTTTTCGGCAAAAAAAAAACAGGTTATTATAAAGAACGATACTCGACGAGGTGTCTCATGAGGGCCACCTTATCGGGGCTAGCAGAGCTACGATGATAAAAAACATTAGGAGAACATCTGTTTTAGCAACGGATCAACACTTGGTCTGGAGATTGTGTATCCTATCTGAAAATGGTTGAATTCAAAAGGTATTCAAGTGGAAACCTCTTGGTGAAAATGATGAATCAATTGAATATCTCTTACGGACATGTGATTTTTGCTTAAAAATTTTGGCAAACTAGCCCTCTTTTGAAGGACCTTGATGCGTCAATTCAATTTGGTGATTGGGTAAGCATTAGTTGTCTTCTCCCCATAAAAAGCAATGTTTATGGTTTATTCTCATCTCGTGGGGCATATGGTAGTCTCATAATAAATGGGTGCATGAAGGAGTTCGGGGAGAATCACATACTCTTCTTTTTAAATTGCAATCAGTATTTGCAGAAATAGATGACTTGTGCAATAGTCCTATCAATATGCTTCTAGAGAATGAGAAGGATGAAGAAGAGGAGTAAACAGACTTTGTTATGTCCTATTGAAGGTACATGTAAAATAAATATTGATTCTTCTCTTGGTGAGAATCGCTAGATTGGCTTGGGTTTTGTAGGACAAGACTATAGAGGAAAGGTAATATTTACAGGTCTAAGACGAATTCCCTCTCCCTTCTATGTGGAAATTGCTGAGCTTCTTCCACTTCTATATGGTGTTGAAATAGCAATTCAAGAAGGATTCAGGCACAACATTTCTCAAAGGGGATTCCTAAACAATCTTCAACAAGTTAAAAAGCCAATTATGTGGACACCTCTGAAATAGAAATGTTAGTTGAGGGTGTTTATCTCTGTAAGTTGTATTTTTTTGTCTTGTTTCTTTATTTAGATTCTTAGACAGTGTGATCAGATGGTTCTTGCCTTAATTAGGAAGCACTCTATGTACTTCATAGGGCTATGCGTTCCTAGGAACCAGCTGTCTTGGTTTTGTTACATGGTGCAGATTTTCCAGGCCAAGTGGTTTAGTGGATATCGTTCATATTTTCTGGAAAAAAAGGGGGAAAAAACATTACTTGGACCATGGGAGAGGTTTTAAGTTCTATAACCAATGATGGGTTTTCTTCATTTTCACGACAGCTATTTTTTTCTCCTTTTGAATTAAAAAACCCCATAAGTTGTTAGTTCAATTTGACTAGACCTTTCATGTGCTGAAAATAATGAATGAAGGGAGAACGAAGAAGATAACGAATGAAATGCTATGTTGGTGTCGGACACCAAATGCATGCTTGGGCTAGAAGGCAAATCATTTGTGAAATTATGGAAGCAATGTTAGTAGGGATCGTGATGTGATGAGTGGTGCTTGTGCCAAAAGATAAGCTAGAGGGCCATGCGATGCTCTTGTTTTATTTACAGAAGTCTGATAGAACCAAACGCCACAAATCAAGGGAAGTAAGGGAAATGTGACAGAAGAATCCCAGGTATTTTGCAGCATGCAGCATGGAAAACGTGGATAATTGATCAACAAGTCATTCCTCCAAAATCGGTCAAAGCTATCTCTTTAATTTTTATTTCCTGTTTTTAGTTTCTTATCTTCTAGCCATTGTGGCTGCGATTATGGCGCCACTACAGCTCGTCCTTCGTAGGTAGCAGGAAGAAGTTGATGCATTTCCTCTATGTAAAGTATTCTCTGAGTATGAATAAGGGATGGTTTTTTGATAGAAATATCCATGGTAATTCTAGCCCTAAATAGAAGCAAATTCTTTTTCAATTCTTCTTGGTTCTGACTGAGACCTAACATTTGATATTACAGTCATGTTTAACAAGGAGATGATTGAACAATTGGAAGCTAGCGTCGGGGGATTGAAAGACAACTCCAGCCGAATGGAGTTGGGAGTTGCCGATAAGCTTCACCAAATGGAGGACACCCTCAAGCGGTTGACGGACACTCTGTTGACAAACTACGAAGGGTCCAGTAGCAACACTCCAACTCGACCCGGACTGACGTGGCCACTTCGCGACGATGGAACCAAAAGGCACGACGGGGGGCATCAACCCTTTGTCTCAAAGCTCGCAAAGCTTGAGTTCCCCATCTTTGCCGATGACGATCCGATCGAATGGCTCAGCCACGTCGAGCAATTCTTCGACTACCAAGGCATTCCCGATAAGTAGAAGGTGCAAAGAGCTTCTTTGCACCTAGGGGTGAAGCCAACTAGTGGTTGCAATGACTTCACCGGACTTACAGAAGAAGGGAAGATGGTGACTTGGGTTGGGTTTGAAGAAGAGATATGGGCTCATTTCAGGCCAACTGATTGTGAATATTTTGATGGGGCCTTAACGAGGGTGAAGGAGATCGGGCCCTCGAGGGAATACCAAAAAGAATTTGAAAGGCTGGGGAACAAAGTTTGCGGTTGGACCCAGAAGGCTTTAATTGGAACCTTCATGGGCGGGTTTTAGCTTGAGATAGCAGATGGGATAAGGATGTTCAAGCCTAGGATGAAGGATGCAATAAGTCTAGCCCGCATGTGCAAGGAGCAATTGGCCCGTCAAGGCAGGCTGGACTGGGTGAGGCGGACTCAAACTGACTCACAAGCGCGCTCCCTATCTGACCAGACCCCGCGAGCTCTAACAGCAACAGTCGCCGCTCCTAAGCGGTTATCCTGGGAAGAAGCACAGCGCTGGCGATCACAAGGTATATGCTTCCACAGTGACGAAAAGTTTACCTTCGGTCACAAATGCCGCCAATCCCAACTATTACGTCTAGAAGGCGACGAAGGGGAAGAAGATGCCGAACCTGCAAAGCCTGGCTGAACGGAGAGACCAAGGGTACCTGAACCTTGAGGACTGTCGGTTCTAAAAAAGGGGAGGCAATAGTTGAACCAAACGCTGCAGATCAAGGGAAGAAAAGGAAACGTGACAGAAGAATCCCAAGTATTTCGCAGCATGTAGTGTGGAAAACGTGGGTAATTGATCGACAAGTCATTCCTCCAGAATCGGTCAAAGCTATCTCTTTTATTTTGATTTCCTGTTTTTGATTTCTTATCTTCTAGCCGTTATTGTTGCGATTATGGCGCCACTGCAGCTCATACTTCCTGGGTAACAGGAAGAAGTTGATGTATTTTCTCTATTTAAAGCATTCTCCTAGTACGAATAAAGGATGATTTTTTTACAACAAATATCCGCGGTAATTCTAGCCCTAAATAGAAGCAAATTCTTTTTCAATTCTTCTTGGTTCTGACTGAGACCTAACAAAGTCCACACAGTATGTTCGCATTCAAGTTGCCAGAAGTATCAAAGCTTTAGGCTGCTTTGACCATGTTAGCAGAATGTCTATTCCTAATATCTAGATAACCAAGATATATATTTGTGTGGATTCAGTCCTTAATGTCCTGCTTGCTCTAGTTTACAGAAGATATATATAAAATTCATTTTTTTGGTGTTGATACTCACTGTTTAGTTTATTGTTTCTCAGAAGCGAAATTTAGAAATTGGAGAACCGCCGTATGGTTTAAAGTTCAATTACATCAATTTGGTTGGTATACCAATAAGAATGTCTTTGTCGCATGTTGTTGTCCTACAGAATTGTTCTTAATAACAGTAACCAGAAGAGAAGTTTTGAGTTTTTGGTCATCTAGATTGCAGGATAGAAGCATGAGAAGACAACCGAGAACTAGAGAGACAGAAACAGAGACAAAGATTTAACATTGTGAATTTATCTCATTACATTTCTTCTACATGTGCTCTCAAACAGTTATACGAGATGGCTGGACCAGATTCAACTGATGAGATAAAATCTACTGCTGCAATAACAAACTGGTTATCGGAAGGACTCCAAGGATTCCTCCCAGCAAATGTTAGGCCAAATCTCAGCAAGCTTGGACTAGCTGGCCATAGCCGTGGAGGCAAAACTGCGTTTGGTTTAGCTCTTCGAAAAGCAGCAACTAAGCTGAAGTTTTCGGCCTTAATAGGCATAGACCCAGTTGATGGAATGGACAAAGGGAAACAAACCCCTCCACCGGTGCTCACCTACATTCCTCACTCATTTGATCTTGATATGGGGGTGATGGTTATTGGTTCAGGCTTAGGTGAAGTGAAAAGGAATCCTCTTTTCCCTCCTTGTGCTCCTAAAGGAGTTAATCACGAAGACTTCTTTAATGAATGTAGAAAACCAGCTTGTTATTTTGTGGTTAAGAACTATGGTCATCTTGATATGCTTGATGATGAAACCAAGGGGATTAGAGGGAAAGCTACTTACTGTTTGTGCAAGAATGGAAAGTGCAGGGAACCAATGAGAAGTTTTGTAGGAGGAATAGTTGTTGCTTTTTTGAAAGCTTATCTGGGTGGTGATAGTAGCCACTTAATGGCCGTGAGAGATGGGCATGAAGCTGCACCTGTGGAGCTTCAAACTGTTCAATTTCTTGAGTGAAAATCAATGAGTAACACATATGAGTGGCTAGATAATACATAACGTGGCTGTAGATGACTTTAATTTATTACCAACATAAATTCGGGTGAAATGAATATTTTGTGCTGGTTAGAATTTTTTAATTGGAATCGTCGAAATGGGTTAAAATATCTGAATTTACCTTTTCGATTTTCATATATCATTTGTTAGTTATTAAAAGTGGACCATTATTTGAGACACTATTAATTCATTTTTTACTTGTTAGTTAGGGTTCAACTTTTGTTTTTTATTTAGTTCATTAGAGATTGGTTGGCTAATAAGTATGGTTTTTATAACTATTCTTATGTGAAATTTAAACTTCAATGGAAAATTAACCAAGTATTTAGACATTGTAAATATAAGTACGAATGCTACGTATTAAAGTTTTAAATGGAACCCGTAGGTTGATTTAAAATCATCATTAAGAGTATATCAGAACTTTAATAAATAAATAAATAAATAAAAAGTAAATTACCATTTTAATCTCTAAACTTTTAGTTAATTATTCATTTTAATTCTAAATGAAATTTTTGTTACAAATTAAGTCTCAAATTTTTATAATTTTTTTTTATTTAAAATCACTAACAATTTTTAACCAAAAAAAAAATGAAAAGGAATTAAAAATAATTTAAAAATTATGTTAAAAGAGAAGAAAAAATAAATGTTTATTGACGGGTGCATTAGCGAATTCAAATACAAGAAAGTATTAAAAGGAATTTGGAAATTGGGTTTTATAGTTTTAATCCAAGACTAAAAAATAGAAAAAGAAAATGAAGAGAAAGTTTGAAAGAAGGATTTGACAAAAAGGGAGAAGAAGCTTATAAAGAAGTGATAATATACAACCCCAACAAAACTCGTCAAATCAGAATCAGAATCAGAATCTTGTTTATATTTTTCATTACTCTTTCCCTCTCCTCTGATGACCAAAATTTTGAGTGAAAAGCTGGTGGCACGGGGTAACGCCTAAACTGACTTACATCACCGACCATCCAATAGACCTTCCTTTCAGATTTCAATACATTTTAGAGCCACCAGGCCCAGCCTTTTCTCTTCTCCTCAACCTAACCCACAAATTAATTATTATTGTTCTATCATTACAGGACAACCCTTTTTTCCTTTTTTTTTTTTTTAATAATAATACCCACAAACTTAATTAATTAATTACTAAAATTGTTGAATTTCACATTTTCGAAATAATATTTTTAAAAACAAAAAAAAAAGTAGAAATAAGTCAGATCTTGGAAAGCCACTGTTGAACACGCTCTATATATATATATATATATTAAGCATCGTCCGTCTGATCTGATTGATGTAAACACAAGTGGGTAGGGAAAAAAAAAAAAGAAAAAAGCATGGAGCCTTTTGTCTGTATGTATTAGTATGCGCCTTTAATTCAATATTAGTAATGTTTTCTCTTAGTTTTTTTGTTTCTATTGCATGAAAATTATAAACAAACAGAGATAATTTGAAAACATGTTGAAAAGAATTTCATTAAATAAGTGGGATATGTTCTTTTGTCCCTTTATTTTCAAGTGTAAAAACTATAAACAAACAAACTAGTAGTAATTTTCTTTTGAAATTTATCCAATAGGGTGGGTATTAGAGAATTATTGTGTTTTTAAAATAATTTGATTATTCACAGAGGACCAGCAAGAGAAGTAGATTTTCTTTTTTTCTTTTTATTTATTATCTCAAAAAAAAAATTAATACATTAAATTTAAATTTGTCCAGTATTATAAGTGTTCATTGATTCCAAACTGGACTTCATTTAGAGACACATGACATTATCAAAGATCTAACTGAATTAGGCTTATTTTTCTTTTCAAATTTTCATGTTTAATTAAAAACTAAACAATCAAAATCAACAAAAATTAATATAAACTATAATCATGCACTAATTTCATAATTGACTAAAATCACTAATAATTTATTAAATATTACTTTCAAATTAAATTGAAATAGTTTTTTTTTTTTTTTTAAGTTTTAGTCTGGATTAGACTTGGACCAACTTAAAATTTTATGTCCCCTCCATATTTATACCAAAAATTAAACTGAATTGTGTTTCGTTTTGTTTGATCCGCTGTTCTACTTGATCATGGTGATATTTTATTATTTTTATTTTTATCTAATTAAAAAATAGATTAATAATTTTAATTAATTTACTAAAAATATGAGAAGATATTAATTTATTTATTATTTTTAGGATTTATTTATTTTGGTTTTTTTTACTATTTTTGCAATCTCCTCAAAGCTAGATAAGAGGATTTTATTGTAAGAATTAGGTAAAGTGTAGCAGCCCCGGAAATTCATAATGGAATTTATATTATAAATATCAAATGCGGAAGCGAAGTCAAAATTTGAATAACATCCCTTACACTGAAACCGAAACGTGCTCACAAAATATAAAAAATTAAACTATCTAAAGGAGAAACTTGAAAGTAAAAACTACGAATGTGACTATGGAGTCTTTAGGCGTCCCTTTCGTCGTCCTCCTGCGGAATTGGCTCGGGAACGATGTCCTCTTGATCTGAAATGATTAAATAAGGAATGAGCCACATTAGTCCAATAAAGACATCACGATATTTCACCGTCACGGAGGTAAAGGTGGGTAGAAAACACAAAAAGACCAATGGAGCATAATTTACAACAAATCCTTTTATCGATAAATAAGCCTTTATCATTTACTTACCTCGGTGAAATTCATAAAACAATATACGAAAGCAATAACATCATCATCATCATGGAAACATATATATGAACTGTATAACATAATACCTATCACACTTTTCGTAATTCAATCGTTACACAACATATTTTCCTAATTCACCAGTCCACTAGTATCCATGGGGATCCATAGGGGTCCCGCTACCCGTTAATCCATAACACTTGAAATCAAATTCCAGGGCCGTCCCCATACCCCGTCCGGTATGGGCGCCAAACCATAAACCTCAATACTCCGTCCGGTATGAGGGTGAAACGGGCCGTCCCCATACCCCGTCCGGTATGGGCGCCAAAACACACAAGATCCCCATACCCCGTCCGGTATGGGAGACCACAATCCCGGTAGGGTTCCCTACGGACCCGGTCCGTCCACCATCTCCCAGGATATCTAGTCGGGCTGAACACATTATACAATTTCCATTCACATAATCTTTCATTCTCTTTTTCCTCAGTCAGCATCATTAATCCACATACAAGCAAGCAAACAGTAATTTATTCTAAACAGACAACATACAGCATCAATATCCCGGTCATTTAATCCATAATCAATAAAATAGTAAAACATGCACACGAAACTATAAAATGAAAACATCGAACCTCATGCTACATTTAAAACTGTAAAACAGGCCAAATAACAGTTAACCGACAAATACACTAGACTTGGGCTCCATTAGCGACCTTAAGCAATTTCACACATTCGTTGATTCATGAAATACCGTTTTATCATTTATTGAACTTTAAAACCGTGATAGAAAATAAGGTGAGGGGTCCTTACTCGTTTCGGGGTCTGAACACGGCTTCACAGTGCGCTTGCAGGCTGTCCCTAATTTTCTCTGAATTTTTCTCGGGGAACTGAAACGCACTACTGGTACCTGCACGTGTTCCAAAAAAATCTCAAATTAGGCCCAGGGCCCCTTTCGGCCCAAATCGCAACTCCGGCACGGCGGCTCCGCCGTGCTCCGGCGACGGCGCTGCCGCTGGCGGCGGCGAGTCACCTCAGGTTGGCTGTTTTCAGTCGTTTTCGGCCGAATTCGGCCACACTCGCATCG